ACGATGAGTAGATACCTACCCTGCTGTTCTACAGTTTACCCCGAGGGGGAGAGTTGATGCTGGTCAGTGGAACAAGGCATCCAAGGAAAAGAGTATGACAGCGCTCCATGCCACTGACCCCTCCCCCTAGCCTGCCCTTCAGTCACAACACATAGGCATCAGGGCCATAAGGGCCTATCTTGTGTGTGAACACAAAACTGAAGCTTCTTCCTGTGGCAGGCTTCTCCTTTGGGCCACCAACCAGCTCCAATTAAGACACAGAGATGACTTATCAGTTATGAAAGCTTAGCGTTTTCTGATGCGTGTCCCACTGACTCTTAAAACTTAACCTGTTTCTCATTGTCTACGTTTTGCCTCAGGGCTTCTCATGTCTGGCTGGTGGCTGCCTGGCTTCTGACCTGGGTGTGTTCCCCTTTTTCTCTCTCCTTCCTCTCCTCCCACATCCCAGTCTAGATTTTCTCCTCCTATTTATACTCTCTGCCCGCCAGCCCTGCCTATCCCTCTCCTGCCTAGCTATTGGATGTTCAGTTTTTTATTAGACCAATCAGGTGCCTTAGGCAGGCAAGGTGAAACAGCAACATAATTACATAATTAAACAAATGCAGCACATCTTTATATCACTAACAAAGGCAGCAGAGACAAATGTAACACACCTTTGCATAGTTCAATATTCCATTGCAGAAACAAATGTAACACACCTTTACACAGTTAAATATTCCATAGCAGAAACAAATGTAACACATCTTTATATCACTAACAAAGGCAGCAGAAACAAATGTAACACACCTTTGCATAGTTAAATATTCCACAGCAGAAACAAATGTAGCGCATCTTTGCCTAGCTAAAAATAATATTCCACACCATCTTCCTTCACTCTACTCTCTAAAACTCACATCAAGAACAACATCTTTCATCCTGTATCCTTTCTCTATGTATCTGTTCCTCCCAGATGGGCTTAGAAATATAGGCTCAGCAGTGGTATGTATGTATGCAAATGTCACTGTGAAACCCATTATTCTAGATGCTAACTAAAAGAATACTTTAAAAAAAAAAAAAAAAAGGAAAAAAAGGCTGGGGAGAAGGCTTGGCGGATAAAGCATAAGCCTGAAGACCTGAATTTGGATCCCAAGAAACCACCTGAACCTGGACATGGCTGTACTCATCTATAATCCCAGCATTCCTGTGGTGAGGTGTGAGGCAGACACAGGGGAACCCCTGGATGTTTATGGGCCAGTGTAAGTCTGGCACACTCATTACCTTGCCTCAAAAAAAGTGGAAGGTGAGGACCAATTCCCAAAGTTATCCTGTAACCCCCGGACAAACACAGTGACATGCATATGCCTACATTCAGGTGCATGGCCACACAAGCATCATATACTCAAAAGATTTCTTTTTAAGAAAAAAAAAAAAACAAACCAGACTGTCTTAGTTAGGTTACTATCTCTGTGATGAAACACCATGACCAAAAAATTTGGGGAGGAAAGGGTTTATCAGCTTACAGTTCCACAGCACTGTTCATCACTGAAGGAAGTCAGGACAGAAACTCAAGCAGAGCAGGAACCTGGAGGCAGGAGCTGATGCAGAGGACATGGAGGGATGCTGCTGACTGGCTTGCTCCCCATGGCTTGCTCAGTCTGCTTTCTCATAGAACCCAGGACCACCAGGGCAGGGATGGAACCATCCACAGTGGGCTGGGCCCTCCCCCATCAACTGCTAATTAAGAAAATACCCTACAGCCAGATCTTATAGAGGCATTTGCTCGATTGAGGACCCCTCCTTTCAAGTGACTCTAGCTTGTGTCAAATTGACCTAAAACCAGCCAGGACACAGACTTAGGAGTCAGCTGTAAGGGTCGAATTCCTGACCTTAATACTTCCTTGCTTCTTACCTTGAAAAGGTTACTCAAATTCTCATGCCTTCCTTCATTTTCTAACCTGTGGGATGAGGCTACTACTAATCCTTGCATTGAGATGCTGTTGGGGGCCTGAGGAGGTAAAACATGCGAGGAGCTTGAGAATAATGCAAGGCACACAGTAGGAACTAAGAACATGTCCCTGGCCGGTGGTGGTGGTGGTGGTGGTGGTGGTGGTGGTGGTGGTGGTGGTGGCACATGCCTTTAATCCCAGCACTCGGGATGCAGAGCCAGGCAGATCTCTGTGAGTTTGAGACCAGCCTGGGCTACAGAGTGAGTCCCAGGACAGCCAAGACTGTTACACAGAGAAACCATGTCTCGAGAAAAAAAAAAAAAAAAAAAGAATATGTCACTGTATGTCCAAAAAACAAAAATGTCCATTTAGTCCCTCTGATGGCCTATCACAAGGACGAGGCTCTGGCATGAAAGATGATCAGTATCAACCCTGGTGCCCAGATGAACAGGCATTCACATCAGTCTGAGGTGATAAAATGAACCCAAGTGAAAGCAAACTTTTGTCAGAAGAAAGAAGGGAGAAGACTCCAGAGAACGAGAAACATTTGCAGGTGGCTGGGCCTGGCTGGAGTTCACCGGAGACTCCTTGGGTGCAGAGAGCACACAGTCAAGCCAGGATGGATCTTCCCTGCCAGACCAACGAAGTTGAACTTCATCCTTAAATGCCACAGGATCCCCTGAAGTATTTTAAAAGAACCTGGCCTCAGAAGGGTTAACAGCCCAGCATCCCCCTGCCCACCCTCACCCTTACTGTATCTGAAAGAAAACCCACTTGGTTTGCTTTTGAGATCTTGAACATATTTGTCAGAATGCTTGTGAGGGACTTGGGAACCATCTTTCCAGAAGCAGTCCCTACGATTCTGTGGCGGTAACTGGCCTGATATTAAAGGCTGACTCCTGCACGCTACCCGCAAGCCCCACATGTATGCTCAGTCCGTTTTCATCTTGTGCAGTCCTTTTCCGAAGGGGGCCCTGCCAACTGTATTTCTTCATCTGCAAACCCTGATATGGATGGGTCTTTTGTAGCATTTGGAGTAAACCAGTTGGCGGGGATGTCAGACCGATGCTAGGGTAATCAGCAGATTTATTTGAGGAAACGTATTTATGGTACTAAATGGCTGTTCTAAATGGGGTCATTATCTGGCCTGTTCTGCTATTGCCATAAATGTCCCTGTAGAACACAGATACCCACAATAAGTCCATCACACTTCCTGGACAAGACTTTGAGACAGTATTTATGATGGCTTCAATCGTGTCTTTTGAATGCTTGAGCACAAACTCTTTGCTGGATGCTCCGTGAAATGTTTCCAGGGCGGACAAAGGTAGAAGGGAGTGGGAGATCAGATTTGCTAAATTGTCAGGGGACACCAGAGGGTGAAGCCTGTCCCAGATCCATAGCTTGGGACATGAGAGAATAAGTCGTAACTAAATACCCTGAGGGGCTTTCAAAGGATGTCATCTTTCTTCTGGAACTGCGGGTCCTGTCCACTAGGGTGGAGTGCTCCGACCTGAGGGAAGTTGTGAGGATCCACAAGGCCCAAACCTCTCAAGGAGAACTCCCCAAAAGACGAGGCTGTATGATATTATATTTTAGAGATTCTCACAATGTATTAAGTCAGTCTCCCATTTATAGACATCTCAGCTGGTCTCAGAGGCCAGACTATTCCTTTTCTCTGAGTACTCACAACAGTGGATTATTCAGAGGTGTTTCTGCTTACTTTGTTATTACCCCATCTACTTTTGGGGGATCAAACAACAACCCACTACCATGATGGAATTAGGCTTGTCCAGGGTTTAATGTTTAGTGGCCACGCCTCCTGCAGAATGGAAACTTGGTTTCCATGGCTCCCAATTCTAGTCTGCAAATAGACTTTGGGACATAGATGCTTTGAAATTTCGTACCAACATCCCTGTGCCAAGCCCCAAAATACTTCGCCATGTGTTCTGGTTTGGCTTCTGTGACTCGGAAGCTCGTGCAACAGCATCAGGAGCAGACTCTGAAGAAACCGACCCTTTGCAGTATTGAAAAAACGGAACCTCGGATGTGTAGTCATAAGCACGGGTACACATGAGTACAGCGAATGTCGCACAGGTGTGGCAAAAATCCCATGTTTGCACACATGTAAGAGGAAGGGGAACCTGCTCTTTTTAAAGATGGAGTTACTACAGAGTTCTTACATGTGAGGAAAAATGGATTATTCAAAGTAGCCGCACACTAGCTTAATGGACAGGGGCTAGAGAGACGGCTCCGTGGTTAAGACTGCTAGCTGCTCTTCCAGAGGAGACTCAGTTCCCAGCGTCCATACAACGGGTAACAAACATCTGTAATGCTGGTTCCAGGGGGTCTGATGTCCGCTTCTGGTCTCCATAGGTGCCAGGTAAGCAATTAGTGCACAGACATGTGTTCAGACAAAACATCCATAAACATAAAAATATATAAAGCTCTTTAAAAAGAAATAACACGGACTTTTGAGTGGAAACAATTTCATTTCTCTCTCTAGACATTGGGAAAGATCTCAGGAAAGGCTGTCTGGGCATTAAAGGAAGAGGTAGCCTACAGAAGGTTGGAGAAGTGTAGGAGTCTTCAGACAGCCAACATTATGCATGTGTGTGTGTGTGTGTGTGTGTGTGTGTGTACATCTGTGTGTGTGGCATCTGTGTGTGTATGTGTCTTTGTGGTGTGTGTGTGTGTGTGTGTGTGTATCTGTGTGTGTGGCATCTGTGTGTGTATGTGTCTGTGTTGTGTGTGTGTGTGTGTGTGTGTGTGTGTGTGTGTGTGTGTGTGTAGAAAGAGAGAGAAAGTCTCTGTTTTGCAATTTGTAGTTTCATAGCTTTCCTGGGACTGAAATTAACAACTTCAGCCTGTTATCGTTTGAGTTGTGTTCTCCTCAGAGTTGGTGTGTTGAGTCCCTAGTCCCCAATATGAATTTGTAAACTGGGCCTTGACGGAGGCAGCTGAGGTGAAAGGAGATCATGAGGGTGGGGCCCTTATCCAACAATACCGAGACCTAAGAACGGGAAGAGATCAGAGACCCACCCCCCTCTACATGTACTGAGGGTCCTCAGCAAAAGCAGCGAGAGCTTTTAACGCTTAGCGATTTTTCCAGCTCAACACCCTACTTTTTAAAATTCACATCCTTCAGAAACCTAAAGAAAGAAATTAAAACCTCATTTTTTTTTCTTTCACAAAAATGTCACAGTAGATGTGCATAGCTTTGGGCTTTAGTTGCATAGGCTTTAGTCACCTACAGGCTTGCCGCGTCAACATCTTTCCTCGTCAATAAATATGGAACACCATTTTAACCGGTTGCATAACATTATATTTTAGAGATTCCCACAATGTATTAAGTCAGTCTCTCATTTATAGACATCTCGGCTGGTCTACAGAGGCCAGACTATTCCTTTTCCCTGTGCACTCACAGCAGTGGATTATTCAGAGGCGTTTCTGCTTACTTTGTTATTACCCCATCTACTTTTGGGGGATCAAACAACAACCCACCACCATGATGGAATTAGGCTTGTTCAGGGTTTAGTGTGAATGTATAATTGCAAAATGCCACTTGCATAATTGCCTGCAGTGATGCCGGAGTTTCTTTCACAACTCCAGAATATTGCTCACAAGTTGAACTTGGCCTTTAGTGACTTCCTTTGTCCAAACTTCCTTGACTTCACTGTGTTCTGGGACGCACGGACCTCGTGGTTCTTTCCATCTAAGGCACGGCTGCTTCCGCCTGAGTCTTCCTAAACTCTGTGTCTGTGAGTTCAGGGCAGGCAGCTGTACCAGGATTTGTGTCCATTAATGTGTATCTGTTCTTGACTCCGCGCTCATAGTATGCACCCTTTGGGGTTGTTTTATCCCAGTGGCTGCCCTTGGAGCAACCGCTGTCCTAATCAGCAACTGCAACTCCACAGCTATCAGCAGGTTTGGCAATGAGGGCTGCAGCCAGCGGGGATTCTGTGTCCTCAGGCACCGGCTCTCTCGAGGCAACCAAGGAAAACCTTATCTAGATCTCTACCCTTCTGTAGAACATAAGATTCAAAGGGTAAAATTCTCAGAGAGGCTGAAGAGCAAAAAGCTAACCACCTCTCCTTGCTCTGGGCTCCCCCAAAGCAGCCCATCCTTCTGTTCCACCCCCACTTAAGAACCCTAGCTACGCATGGCTCCACCCTACCACTTCCTGTCAGTTAGTTGCTGACTCAACCTCTTGACCATGGGTTAATTTTATTTAATTGTTTAATTAAAAATGTAACATGTCTTTGCATTGTTAACAAAAGCAGTAGGAAAAAAATGTAACACACATTAAGATAATATTCCACAACACTTTGGAGACTTTGGGTGGGTGGGTGAGATGAGAGAATAATAAGGACAAAAGGGAATGATGAGTCAGTCTAGGAGAACCTGAGAAGCTTGACTTAATTAGCCCTCCTCCAGGCTACAAGCCCACCAGTTACACTGCTTAAAAATCCATCCAAGAAATCAAAGGCCAGCCAGCCAGCCACTCATTCAACTTACATTTATTGAGTGCCTGGTCTGTGAAGCCCGGTACCTGGGGATGCAATGAGTATCTATAATCACATCATGATCATAAGTTATTGTCTATTTCAGTGGTTACATTAGCAGACCTGAAAACTTAGCCATTTTCCAGTAGATTCCATCAGAAGCAAAACCATTCAATAATCAGGGTCTGTGTAGCAGCTTCTTCACATGGAATACCAGATGGAATGGGGGGGGGGCATTAAGGTAGTGGAGCTCTCCTCAGATAAGGGTGAGACAGTGTGGTAGTTTGAATGTAATTGGCCCCCAATAAGCTCAAAGGGAGTTAAAGTGACAATTCCACAGAGTCTGTCTGATGGTCAAAAGGGATTTATTCTGTGTTAACTTACAATAAACATAAGGGAGTTGGTCACAGGATCCAGGAGGGGTGTGCAGTCCAATGAGGTTTTCTGGAGAACTCTGTCTTCCACAGCACCAGAGTCCAGCATCTAAGACCATGAGGTAGCCAAGAGAGTGAGCACGTATGCATTCCAGGTCTTAAGGGATCCCCCTTGGGCATGCTGGGGGTGGGGGGCAGGTACCTAGCTCTGAGGTCTCCTATGCTCAAGCTACGCCCAGTGTGGACAGAGTCCTGCTGCCTATAGATCAAGATATAGAACTCTCAGCTTCTTCTCCAGCACCATGTCTGCCTGCAAGTCACCATATCCCACCATGATGATGATGATGATGATGATGATGATGATGATGATGAACTAAACCTCTGAAACTTTAAGCCACCCCAATTAAATGTTTTCCTTTATAAGAGTCGTCATGGTCATGGTTTTTCTTCACGGCAATGGAAACCCTAAGGCAGAAGTTGATACAAGGAGTGGGGTATTGCTGTGATAGGCCTAACTATGGTTTTGTTTGGAGAAATTTGGGCTTTGGGAGTTTGGGTTAGGAAAAAAGGTGGAATGCTTTAAGTGGTGTTTAATGGGCTGTACTAGAAGGAACATGGAAAACAGTGGTGCTCAGCTTCTTGATTAAGCCAATCACAGCATCATATATTCACACAGCATGAAGGAATATTCTATATTTCCTTCTTAAGATGCTGCAAACCATGACTTGGGACCATTTCCTGGGAACCTGGGTATGGACTTGGCCAGAGCTCATCCTCCTGACCAGTATTTAATTAAAGCTTGCTTCAAATTTGACTATAAATTGTGGTAGTGGTCTTGTTCTCAAGCAGTGGGATTAACAACTGGTCTTATGTGTAGCTAAAGTTTTTCTGTGTCCCATTCAGTCCACAGCTGCTCAGACCCAAGTAAGCACACAGAGACTTATATTAATTAAAACTGTTTGGCCATTAACTCGGGGTAACTACTAACTAGCTCTTATACTTAAACTCAGCCCATTTCTGTTTATCTATATGTCACCATGTGTTCCATGGCTTTACCTGTGTGCCATTACATGCTGCTCCCTGGACTGCAGGATGGTGTCTTCTGACTCAGCCTTCTTCTTCCCAGAATATTCCTTGTCTGTTTATCCTGCCTATACTTCCTGCCTGGCTACTGGCCAATCAGCTTTTTATTTATCAACCAATCAGAGCAACACATTCATACAGAACATCCCACAGCACTTATGATATTTTGATGAAAAATGTGGCTGCCTTTTGCCTTTGTCTGAAGATTCTGCCTGAAAGTGAAGAGATTTGGATTAATTCTGTTGGCAGAGGAAATCTCAAAACAGCCTGGTATAGACTCTGTCATGTGGTTACCAGTTCGTGCTGATAAAGATTTATAGTGGAAAGGAGCAAGCTGAGCAGGGGGAAAAAGAGCACCAGGAAATGGAATGGAGCTAAGCCCTGTATTCAAGGAGATAAACAGATTATGAAATGAAATAAAGGGAGTAGTGGCCTCAGGGCGAGATCCCACCCAGCTAAGTTTCCAACTTGTGAAAAGTAATTAAAGAAAAGCTTACAGCTGGGTGTGTGGCACACACCTTAATCCCAGCACTCAGAAGGCAGAGTCTGTCGGATCTCTGAGTTTGAGGCCAGCCTAGTCTACAAATTCAGTTTCAGGGCAGCCAAGCTTAGGCAGTAGAAGAAACCATGGAGAACAGACAGCTGGTAAAGATGTAATTGAATGAGGGGGCCATGTTCCAGCCCAACCGAACAGCAGAATTTGGCAGCTTTGGCCACGTGATTCTGGCTTTAGAGTCAAGAACAGAAGAAACGAGTTATGGAGTCTTCCTCTGAGGCTAAGGAAAGACACTGAGGCCAGGCATTTTTGTCAGGGGTGTCCCTGAATGGAGGCCTGGAGAGGCCATTATGTGAAGCTGAGATGTTGAAGTCTGGATTGCCTTGGAGAACCCAAGATGTTAGAGATGGCAGAGTTGTGGAGTACCTACTGAAGAAAGCTGCTAACAGGGAGTGGAACCAGCCCAAGAGAAAGAAGTGTGTTGCATTCAACAAAGCTAAAAGGAGCTGGAGATCTGAGGAGCATTTTGGCATCAGACATGGAGATGCAGTTGGTTTTAGTCTTACTTTGCCCCAATGTTTCCTCACTATGCTCCTTTCCCTGCATTTTGGAATGGTAATGTATATCCTGTGCCATTATATCTTGGAAATATGTGATCTGGTCTTTTTTTTTTTTAATTTCATAGGGGATTACAGTTAAGAGATTGTATGAATTGCAGAAGAGACTTTGAACTTTGGACTTTTAAACATTGTTGAGACTGTGATAGACTACGGGGATTTTTGAAGTTGGACTAAATGCATTTTGCATTATGATATTGTCACAAGCTTATGGGGGCCAGGGAGTGGAGTGTGGTGGTTTGAATATAATAGACCCCCATAAGCTCATAGCAAATGGCACTATTAGGAGGTGTGGCCCTTGTTGGAGTAGGTGTGGCCTTCTTGGAGGAAGTGTGTCACTGTGGGGGCAGGCTTTGTGGTCTCTTAATAGGTTTCCTACACACACACACCCATAATAAGTTTCTCCACCAACACAGTAAGCCAGATCAAGCCAGGTTGAAAGAGTATATCAACAGGTTTGTTTGAGCAAAGCAACACTTGGGTGGGTTCCAGTCCCAGAGATCAAGGCTGGAGAAGCCATGCCCACAACGAAAGCAGAGAGACTTTATAGGTTGGAGGTGAGGGGTGATGACATGCCCATTGCAAGCTGGGTTTGTGCCCAAGTATGGTCAAAAGCTGACCGCTTGGGCTGATGGCAGCAACATGGGAGGAAGTTGCCATAGTTACCAAGAATGGGGGGGATGGGACTGGGCTTTTTGGCACCTTTTCTTTGTTGGAGACTCTGTGGGAGGGCAGGGTTTGGAGAGAGAGACAGGAATGGGGCTTTCGGGCTCATGCCGGAGTGAGCTGGAGGTTCCAACCGAACACCCCAACATTTTTGGATCTATGAACACCGGTTTATATCAGGCTACTACCTGCTGGCAGGGAACGATGTGGGGAGGGGGCATCAGGAGTCAATGGGCTCGTGCTCAGTGGGAAGTATGGGTGAAGTAGCATTCAGTTAACTACCACCCTGAAGACCTTGTGAATCCATTCCTGGGGGAGGCAGAGAAGGCAAGGTGCTAGGAGAAAGAATAGGCAGGTTATTACCACCGGCCCCGTGAACAGGACTAGAATGGAATGGAGATGTGTTCTGGTTGTGTTGGTGAAATTCTTCAGACAGTTCCTGGAGTGACTTGATATTAGTCCAGATCCACTGACACAGTAGCAGCACTCTGTCCCCAGGAATAAGCGGGTGTCTGTCAAACAGGTGGAACAGATTCACACCTCGGTGTCATAGCAAAGGCTATGGTTTTGCGTTAAAATGAGTGAACACTTTCCCTATGTCTGGAGGGCCGGGTTTTAGCCTGATGAAACGCACCTGTAAGTCTATCCTTGGAAGGCAACCAAAGGAAATTTAAAATCTTGAGCTCGTGACCAAACAGTAAGTATTCAGTGCCCCGTCAGCTCCTCAGAACTCCATTTATCAGAGCTAAAACTCCGACGATGCCAGTGTAACAACATCATAGAGAGAGACAGAAGTCTGAAACATCTTTATACACCTTCAATCCTTTACCTATACCTTCACAACTTGCATTTACACATCTTAAATCATTTTCTGTGTTTCTTTCGTGGAACGTTACATCTAAGACCTGTTTATCCTTTACTATGACGCCTGTGAACAAAGCAAACCTGTCTGTATTCTTAACGAGAAACTGAACTAATAATGAACTACCAAGGTGGCTGTAGCCTTGAGCAGAAGGAGCTGTTACCCTGGTGAAGCCATTACTAGCCTGGCTGTCAAACACTATCAAACCTGAGAAGGATAAATTTCACCTGGATAAGCAGAAGTGCAGACCAAGCAGCTTCCGAATCTATTAAAATGACAGGGACTTACCGGCTGCCTGGACAGCGGCCCCAGGTTCCTCCGTGGTCATTGGGGGCAGAGGTCCCAGGGCAGCATCAGTATTCGGCTGTCAGGCCCAGAAGATCTGACAGACTTTCCTGAGGAGTAGGAATTTGGGAGGGACTGGCCTACCTTGTCTAGGCAAACTGGGGCAATCGACTCCCCAGTTTCCTGCCTGTCTACAGTCTGGACGGGGGCTGGGCAACAGTTGAGGGGAAAGGCTTTGTGACTGGCTTTGTCACGTTTAAAACAAGCTCCAGATGGAAGATCTTCTGTGCCCAGCATCTTCTTTGGAGGAGATGGGGTGCTGCTAGGAGCTGGCATGTCTCTACTGTGAAAAAGTTTTGTTATTAAACATTTTGAATGCCATATTCTCAGATCTCTGAAGCATTTGAAGATCATTATCTGTTAGGTATATCTAAACTAGACAAATGTTGTTTGTTTCTAGTTACTTGTTTTAGGCTTACCTTTGAGAACACATATATAAGCTAAATCTGATCAAAGAAGTTGATCCTTTATAAGATGTCTGACTATTAACTTGTATGTCTTATAAGATTAGGATTTTATAACTCTATCCCTGTTAAGTTTAGCCTTAAAAATAACAATTTCTGAATTGAAGCTCTTTTAATACCAAGATAAGACTTTTAACTCATAAACAGTCCACGAAGAGACTGGAATCTTTCCTGGGAAAGACTGGGATCCTTTTATAGTACACCATTATAGAATACAACAGTTTACTAAACTGGTTATAGCTTAACAATGTTGGGGAAAGCAAGGGGGTTGGACAAGCATTCCTAAATCGGTCTCTGTTAGCCAGAACAGACCTTAGGTAAGGAGAGACCCTTTGCCAGACTGCTTAGGTCACTGTCTTGCTGAATCATAAAATAGGAATACCTCAGTCTCTCGTGTTTAGCTATGGTCCTTAGTTTTAGCTTTTTATTTACCTATTTATCAAGACCATATACTAACAAAGGCATTATTATAAAATGTCTTATAAATTTAAAATGTCCCATAGTCATAAATGTAAGCACTTCAAAAACCATTTCTTAAAAATATCCAGTTTATTTAAACTTTCTGTAAAACTCTAAAATTTTCTTTTAAAGAAGTTTAAGATCTCTTAACTGTGTGTTCTGGTAATATCCAACTAAAGCACCTTTTTATTTTTTTTTCAACTAAAGCACATTTTTTTTTCAAGAATGAAGACAGAGAACACAACTATAATTTGTAGAAATTAAAACCAAGTTTCAATAAAATCAATACCAAGTAGATTACTCTTATGTTACAAAATCTGAGCTGCCATCAAGATATGTCCCTGTACATGAACACACAGAGGTGCAGCTTTAATATCTCATTAAACCAGCATTGTTTTAAATCCTATCTTTCATAAACCTTGTTTGCAGGACAGGACAGGAATGATCATACAAAATAAATCCTAATCACAAATACCTTGGAGACCTGTTGTTGCCTTATTGATAGGCCCACTCCATGTGGTCACTTTAATCGAGATGGTAGTGAAGTCACATGATCTCCCACTCCTCCAACCCTTGTCAAAATGTCAACTGCCCAGGTGGCTGTACTTAGTTCAGTTAAGATGGTGGCAAACCCTTGTTTCCCAGAACAGCTCCAATTCAGAGTTACAACCTTTATGTTAACTTTTTGTTACAGATTTTTAACCAATTCTCCTAGCTGTTTTTTTTAATAAAGTAGAACAGCATAAAGCAACTTTAAGATTATTTATACCCAAATGACATATAAATCTCTGTTAATACATCAGAGTCAGAGGCCAGAAAGCCCAGAGGCAAATTCTGAGCCCAGGTGGCCAGCTGCAACCGTAACAGCTGAGCTATCACATGGAACATAGTAAACTCACACATCCAGGACCAGTCAGAAACAAACATGCACTGGCCACATACATTTATACATTTAATTGAGCCCGACACAATTGTGTGTGGCTCCGTGACTGCAGGAAGACTTACTGGCACAGATCCATCCATACATACAAAATAGACAAAATTTCCAAGGGAAACAGACTTTGGTAACATAGATTTTAAACCATGCCAGATGAGCAACTTACAAATCCTGAGATAAG